ATATATTGTAAAAAAAAATCGTTCAAACGCGGATTGATTCGGGTTGTATTATATTTTAATTCTTATTACTATAAATGAAAAAGAAATTATTAATGTAGTAAAAAAAGAAATAGTTATATTAAATAACAGCTAAGCTGAAACAAAGAAACGACAATTCGATTGTTCGAAATTTTAACAAGTTTGAAGCATTTCTAACTTTTAAGAAAGATGTTGATATTTTTTAATGTTATTATTGTACAGTATATGTATTAAGAATAATGATCACAAACAGCAACAACAATAATATATTCTTGACATGATTAACGTTTGTTTTATTGTTTATTTTCATTAATTGTCGTTTTTACTCTTGTTTGAAAGGTAAGTTACAATAATAACATATTCTGCTACTCAATTAGTTACCTATTTGTAACATTTTGCACAGTTACACGAATCGGAATGATTATTCCTTTCTGCAAGTAGAAGAATATGACCACAATTTCCTGCAGTAGTGCGTGTTTTTTCGATCACCGTGTGTATCTATTTGGTTTAAAAATAGAAAGAGTTGTTTTTCCAATTAAATTGGTTTCAAACGATTATTAGGCCATTTATGGATTTAATCAATTAGCTGTCGAATTCGCCTAACATATATATTAGTTTATTGCTTCTCGATAATTAAATGTAATTGCTAAACTAAATTATTTTTCGCAAAAAAAAAGGATGAATGCTCTCCTTAATGTTTTATTGGCTTAAAAAATACCGAGTTTGGAACATATTAAAATTGGTTTAATGTTGGTTGAATGATCGCGATTATTTTCCGCATGGTGAAACAGTTTTTTAAAATAGATTGGAATAGAAAGACACTTTACTTTAATTTTATAATTACGATTACAATTTTAAATATTTTAAAGATTGTTAATATCGTTTAAACTATACCGCCCCTTTTCATTTAGGTATGTAGGTACGTTACAATAATTCCGAAAACGATTTTGCAAAATATATAGAAACAACAACAGATGCATTATTTATTTGTGAAATTTGCAATTTATCATGGAGCTATCATTTATTTTTGTTTTACTTGGCAGGTTTCCAAAAGTGTTACTGTTACCCCATTCGAAAGAACATCTAGAAAATTGCTCGACTTGCTTCGATCATCACCGATCTTTAACGTTGGGTACATTGCTTTGAACATTTTCTAATAATTTATTCAATAAATAACAAATTACTTATACTTGATTTTTTTCCATTTAACGCGTCGCTGCTTCAATTTAACTTTTTGTTTTTCCCTTATGTTTACTTTTAATTTTTAACAGTGCTCATATTTCTTTTGACATAAGTATCACCTGAGAAACTTTTGAACAGTTTTCTTTTATCGTTTAATGCCAGGCTTGTAAATATTCAATTTCCCTTTTACGAGGTGATGCGAGTCCTATTTGTCAAACGCTAACAATTTCGAAAGGGACTCCTGCGATGTAAGACCTAATTTCAAATTTAAATCTGCCCCGAGAGACGGTTGAAAAGGAGAGAAAGTAGGCGACGGGAGATTCGTTTTTGCCTGGCTTCAGAAGGTGGTTTTGTTCTCAAAAAAATGAATATAAAAGGGCTAAAAATTATGAAACTGGAACATGCAGCGGACCTTAAATGACGTATACGAAATTGAAAAACTATATAATGATAAAAAGGATTGAAAACCAACGTTGCAATTTTATAGACTATTTAAATCACAAACGTTTCTGTAGAAGACGATCGTCAGTTAATAAATTATAAATATATAAAATGTTTTACTTTTTATTTACGAAATGGAATCAATATTATGGACACAGAAATTTAATGATCCATCATTCTGATATTTGAAAAAATTTCTGTTAGAAAATCATCGTCGATAAGTAATTTATGAAGATACCTGTGTAAAATACATTTATCGTCATCTACTCTTCATTCATTATCAATTTTGTGCTCTCATCGCCACGCTTAAGAAAGATCGAGTGAGAAACAGAGGGAGAGCGAGAGAGAGCGCGACTGATTGACCCGAGTGCTCGAGGGGAGGTGAGCGTCGGGACGCCCAAAAAGCAACGTCGCGGTGCCTGCGCTGTTCCAAAGCTTCCAGCAGTTGCACAGCTTTCGCTGGAACTTCAGTGTTTCGAAAGCAATCACGACTAATACGCGTCCGGGATACGTTGACGTCAACGGGGAATGTTGAGCACGGACGTCACTGTTCGCACCACAGTTTGATCGAAGACTCAATCAAGGGGTGATTTTTTTTCTCTTGGTATTTCGTTACAACACGCGCCCCTAACGCGATACACCGACGCGCATTCTTCACACGAACAACTTAATACACCATTAAGAGGGACGTGATTGCAGCTCATCCTACCTGTTGTCAATTATTCATTTTTTTTTTCTTCGAAAGATAGGTAAGGATTTAACAATTTTTTAATTTTAACATGATCAGTATAGTTCCCTTTCGGAAACTGTACAGCAAAATAATTGTTTTTAAAATTTTTACTAGATAAAGTTTAACTTTCATTCTAATGCTGCAAATCCTTTCGAATATCAATGAATATATTAGTTATGACAATTTATTGCGTTACCAAAAGTACAGATACTTTATTTTGATGAAATTTGCAACAAATTATACAAATTTAAACAAATTTAGTTATGTTTTGCATAGTGTGTTAAGTATGGTATAACATGGTGATAAAAAGGAGTATTTTACACAATCCACATTAATCACTCTGCGATTATAGGATGAATTATATTTAAAATTATTGTAAAAACAATAATAAATAATCAAAAGAGTCCGAGTCATCTACCAATATTAATACAAAATCCTTTTGTGTATTGCAAACTTAAAAAGGATCACTAGGAATGTTGCTAGACTTATAGGTACTTACAGCACGTTCTATTGATAATTTACATGTGAAAATCATGAAAATTTCTTATTTAAGGCTTACCAAATTCAACAGGTTTTCATTCAATTAGCAATCAAAGGTAGCGCCAATTCAACTGGTGAAGAAAGATGGAAGCTCTTAATTGAATTTTATTTTATATTTTACTAATTCTAATATAAATATTAACAGAATTTTTGTTAACCTTATGTTTTGAGATTTCTATAATTCAAGAGAAAGGATAAACAATAAATAGATGTTTGAAACATCATTAGAACAGCAGAATAAACGTACAATATTTAGATACGCAGTTAATGAACGGTACGGTGCCCCTTGACTAATGATAAGTTCAAAGTTAATTTAGTTTCGTCTCAATAAAAGTATGCTCGCTAAAACGAATTCAATTGACTTTTAATAACTCGGGTTAATTTTAGCTATAAATGTGTTCTACTTCATAAAGAATTTAGCGTGACCAAGAAAAAGGCTTTAGCATTTCAAAACAAACACATTAGTCCTGAAGTAGCCAGAAAGTGAAAAGTTATGTAAATAAAAGTTGAATAGCAAACGGAAAGTCAAAAATGTTTTAGTCTCATTCCTTGTCAACAATAATCAAAATTTCAAATGACATTAACATTAAATATGCCACCTATACTAATATCCAGATATTTGTCGAGGTTTCCGGTAGAAAATCGTCGTCAGTAACTATGTCTTACAGCATCAGACTTCATTTACAAAATAGAATCAATATTATGTATATATAATCCTAAAGATCCATTATCTTGATTTGACAAATCTTCCGATAGAAAATCAGCACAAGATAGAATCAATGTTAAGGATAAAGACTCCTAAGTAGTTATTATCCTGGTAGTTAAGAAAGTGTCTGGTAGAGAATCATCATCAGTAAATATATGAAGATGTAGAACATTATAATATTACATTTTTTGATTTCGAAATGGAGTGAATATTACCTATAGAAATATAGTATCGCAAAGATCTATTATCCTGATATTTAAACAAGCTTACAATTAAAAGTAATAGTTAATAAAAATTATTAAAAAATGCGAAAATCACTAAATTGGTCTCTGTATGCAGCTCTTTTTGGTTTCTACACCACGTACCTTTAGTTATCGATAAAGTTACCCTTTAACCGCCACCGTAAAAACAAAGAGACGTAAAATAATGGTGTGACATTCATGGGGTCATTGGTGGTAGCGGTTATTTACAGAGGCACCTTTATCGGGTTTTAGGCGAGACTAGTGACTTACAATGTCCGATCGAAAGTTCATTCAATTCGATTCAGGTTCCGATTTAATCAAAATATTCATGAAAAAGCTCACAAAAGACTTTCATTTAATGGACGGGAATATTGAATTGTCGAAGGATATTCAAACGAGCCCAGGACCTGGGACGAACAACGGTTTTAACTAAAATTGCTAGCTGGAAGTTAATCTTTCTATTATTTATTTCGATTTATCCAAATAAGGAACCTACACATAAAAACTATTAGATACCAAATTTTGTAACAAGAAAGGCGCACATCATGTTAAAAATATCGAAGTAGAAAATAATATAGTCACCTTTCATGATGATAAATGGTATATTGTTTTTACCTAAGAAAAAATATATATACGTATAACAGAGGCTTTATAGGCATGCACGTTCATATCGCTTCTTTTTATATACGAGCCCATTTATTATAGCAGCGAATTTTTCTGTCTTTGACATTAAATAAACGTGTAGCTATCTACATCCCGGACTCAATTCACGACGTCTACAAAACTCTGGTAATGATGTTTTAAAAAGCTTTTTCACAAGAAACTCTATTATTAGACAGGAACAACTTATTAGTTTATTCATTTACGAATAGTGAGTAATTCCATATCAGTTTTTCAATCAATTGTTTTGTTATTTACCTATTTCACGTAATAAAAATTAAGGATTTGCTTAAAGCGATCTGTTTCAAAACCGAAAGAAACCAGACAAAGTTTAAAGGATTTTTCTTCAACAAGAGAATAATAGAAAACGGTGTGGGATGTATAATTACCCCGCGTAGTGAGGCTTATTGTCACAGAACTGTGATAGAATCGCTGTTAGATACAAGTTGACAACTGAGAAGTCTCAACTTTAATGAAACGCAATTAACCAACAAGAAGGCAGAAAGATTTCGAGAACATTAAACACCGCTTAAGCTTAAATATTTAGTAAAGTCAGTTTCTCATTATTAAGACCGGAAAGATAATGATTTTAGGTAAATCGAAGCATGCTAATCCTTATTTGAACGGAAGCCGGATATTTTGTAGATTTAGCCAAGTCGTTGCTTACTTCAGTACTTCTATCTCCCTTATTTCGCTCACGCAATAGATAATTACGAAAGAACGCGTTCATGGGTTCACATCAGAAATAATTTGTCTAGAGTTTTTGTTAATTCTTCACTCGTTCCAAATGGTCGACTCTCAACCACAGTACTCATTAGCGCAATGCTCCAGTCTCCGTTTATAAAATGTTTCACTCGCGATCAAACAAAAAAACAAAAAAGATCTCGTTTTGGACAAACGCGATATTCGTAAGGAATTTTTACGTTTGGTTTTTTTGTCAGAACTTTCCCAAAAAGGTAGTTACCTAATCTTTGTGCTACTTCTCTTCTTCGTTTTAAGCAGTCAGAATAAGCTCGATCACGTTCCCAGGAAGAAGGGCAAAAAAATCTCATACAGTTGATTAAGTTGAGAAGAAGAGTTGTACATACAGAGCTACTTCTTCCAGTAAAGTATTTGTAAACATAGTAAGGATATCGTTTGCCAACAATTATTTTGTATAGTCAAGTTCTGCTCAAAATATCTCCGCTCTCTCTACCTAAACTTCGTTTAATTTCTGTAGCGATGTGACCTTCAGTTTGACCGGCGCAAAGTAGAAAAGAACAGCACTAGGCCAGAAAAGGAAGGAGACAACTCTCGGCCAAACTCTTAACCGGTGAGGAGCGTATAATCCGTACAGTACTGCACGGAAAAATTGACCATTTTATCCACTACAATTGCATTGCTCAAATGTGCTGTTATTGGTACCATTTACTACTGAAAATATCAACGAGATGTTTATTTATATTTGAAGACATATTAAAGGCTTTAACGCTTGTTTTCGACTCGCACTACTATTCATGATTGAACAAAACTTCTGGCAGGTACTGTATGAAAAATTATGCTTAATGAACAAGAGTCGAGAGTATAATGAGCTTTTTTCTCCCTATCTAAGATTTTGCCAGCATGCATCCAAGACATTGGAAGGAACACAT